TTTTTCCCCATTTTACTTCTCTCTCCATTTATTATTTCACCAAGTCCTGCTTCATTCTTTCTGTAATTTAATTTGCCATTGTCCATGGCCACTGGCACCATATTTAAAGCTTTGATTACTTTATTTTTATATTAGATTCATAAATTTATTGAAAGAGGAAGAAAGTTTAGAGTTACCTTAGTCCAGCTCCTTTATTTTGTAGATTAAGAAATGGATACTCAGGTCAAATGACTTGCCTTATGTCACACAACTAATGAGTAGCTGATGTTATAGTTCTCTGGTCTCAACATTTAATACTCCCTCCCAGTCTAGCATTCTTCTTAAAATGTTACTAGAAAAAAAAATTTGTCAGTTTTGCATATCTCCAGTTAAGAGTGAGCTAGCTTTAGGAGGTTGGATAAGATAAGATGACAGCACTTTTTAGTCACCCCTCCCTCTTTCCCCCTTCCCTGAAGGCGACTATATTACTTAGAACTCTTTTAGCCAGTTTAAAAACACATATTTACCTCCATATGTCTGAAGAGCATACTGGAAGAGTTCATAATTACATGCATGCTTGCTTATTTTTTTAGTTTTAAGCACATCTATTGATTTCCCTTTCTGAAAAGATATGGGAGATAAGGATTAGCTTACTCTTTTTCCCTCACTGCACCCTCTTCCCCACATTCTGTCTTCCCCATCTTTCCAATACAGTTTTATTGCAATTTTGGTTAAATCAATATTTATCCATTATTACTTGGGATGCTATTTATAGTGTCAAGTAGTAAATTATAAATACTTTTCCTAAACAACTTCTGGTATTCCGTGGAAATGTTGAGTCAACTTTTTTTTTTTTTTAATATATCAATCACTAATTTAGCCTCACACTTTTCACCAGTTACATGTTCAGGTATTCTATCAGCTTTATCTTTTTGAAGAAATTTTTACCTGCTCCAGACTGGACGGCTTGTCCTCCCTGCTGGGAACACAGTTGTCTGCTGGGACCCTGGGAGTTCATTTTGCCTCTCTCCTTCATTGAATTTCCTGTTCCTTTTTCTCTCTTGTTTTAGTGGAGCACAGTCTCTAGTAGTTTTCTATGAGGAAGGGGGTGTGGGAGGTAAGTCTTTTGAGACTTTCTGTGTACTCTTGATTGATAGTTTGGCTGGGTATAGACTTCTGGGTTGGAAGTCATTTTCCTAATATATTAGTCTGCTAATTATTCTCAGTGCCCTTTTAAATAATATCCCTTTTTTTTTCAATTTGATGGATACATTAACTTATCTTTCTGAGGATAATTTTTTTAATGTACTCTTTTTCTTGTATATTCTTTCCTCCATCCTGCATTTTTCTGTTTTGTTTTTCACTCTATGTTTCATGATAGAGGCTTTCCTGAGATGTTATTAGAACCCGTGGTTTTCGTTCACATTTAAAGTTGGGGTATATACACACACAACACATAGAGTTGAATCATATGAAATTGCCATTCTTTCTCAGCTTTGTTCACTATCTGTGAACATACTTAGTTCTCAGATCTTCATTTCTAAATCACACCCTCCACTAAAAGGAACCAGGGCTCCTTGGAGAAATGGGTGATTTTAGAGCTGGGGCAGAGAATGTACAAGATTAATCTAGAACATGTTGTTATGCAAGGAAATAAGGAAGTACTCAAAAAACATGGAAAGCACACAGTCCTCTGCTTGAAGGGGTTCCCACTGGCCAAATCTGGGATAAGTTGAGCATCAGAATGAATGGTGATATTAATAAATAAAATAAGAATCCGTGAGTCCATACTGATAATGAATTAAAGAATGAATGGGAAAAAGGGAACATAACCTTATTGGAATTACAATGTCAACTGATAAATGTAGAAGGAACAGTAGATTTACAAAATAAACATCATTTTATAACTGTCAGTAACAGTTGATTAAGGCAAGAATTGCCAGTGGATGCTAAAACTATTGGGTGAATGTTTTAAGAACATAATCTCAAAATATCTTCCTACAGATAATTTACTAGTTAATTACTAAGGGGAAACTGGTTATTTTACAGTGGAGAAATGAGGCAAATATCATCTTAACCAAGTGATCAAAATCCCAATAATGGGACACACAGACATTATCTTACTACTTATGTGATACTCTAGGAAAAACAAACCTCACTTAGCACTTGTGTGGTAGTACTGCCAGATATATATACCCTATATTCTTCAAAGATGCCAATGAAAGGCAGAATTGCTGAAGAACTGTTTCAGATGGAAACATGACATTAGGTGTGATCCACGATCTGGATTGAGATGAAGGGGGATTGCCGTAAGGGACGTAGAGCAGTTGGCGGAATTGGAATGTGAACTATAGAGTATGTATGGGACAGTTAATGTGTTGTATTCTTGACTTTGACTGTGGTTGTGGAAGAGAATACCCTTGTTCTTAGGAAATACACAGCAAGCTATTTAAAGGTAAAGGACGTGATGGCTGCAGAAGATGGGTGGAAGAGCAAAAGTGACACAGTGATTAGTTGTGAATCTAGGTGAAGGCTCTGTGGGAGCTTCTTGTAGTGTTCTTGCAGGTGTTCTGCAAGTTTACAATGAAGACTTTTAAAGAAAAGATTGGAGTGAGGGTGGTTGATTGGAGCCCCCACTCACGGGTGGGGGCTCAGTGACTGTGAACCTTTCAGCAGTGTGATGAGTTGAGCTCCTTTGGTTGGGAAGTCCCCAGTGTCAGGGTTTTCAGGTGTTTGTTTCTTGAGGTTAGTGATTAGAAGACACTTTCAGTTTTCATTCTGGCTGGGGGTGGGGTGGGCAGTTGAGGGGGCCTGTCTCTGCATTCTTTCCGCAGTTCACACAGTCCCTCTGTTTTCACTGGCAGGCCCACCCTCAGCTGTGCTGGAGTCACCATCCTTTTTGGCTTCCTCCTGTCATCTGATGGGGCTGGGAAGGACAGAAGAAGGCAAGGAGATTTGGGAATCTAAGTGTTCATTAAATAGCTTTTTCAACTGATATTCCTTTTGCTCCCTAATTTTGTTGGTTCTTGGGATTATGCCTTTAAAAAGCAAGACAAAACAACCAAAACAGTTCTTTTACTGTACTTTTAGAGGCATTTCAATGTGTGTTCAATATACATTGTTTACCCAGGAGTCCCAATACTGCATTTATATACCATTTCATTCTGTTTTCTATCTTTTGATCTTGTTTCCCACATTTTCACACTTTAGAAAAAAACAGATTTCTTATCATCAATAGTATAGACCCTCTCTTTCCCGTAATTAGTCTAAGGGAAAAGACTGAACAATTAAAGACCTTTTTCCAGAAAAGTGGGTTATGTCTCAGCATACTTGTTACAACTTAATAAGCACCTGGATTTGTGATGCTCTGAGCGGGTTGACAGCTGTCTTATCTTTTGGCTTCCCTGGATGGGAGTGTGCAGCACAGTGAGGCAGGCAGGTTGGTACAACTCTGCTGGGAGCCTGTGATTGACTGACTGGCTGGAAGTGGGTATTGACTATAATGGGGTATTTTTTTTTTTTTTTTTTTTTTTTTGGCTGCATTGGGTCCTTGTTGCTGCACGCGGGCTTTCTCTAGTTGCGGCGAGTGGGGGCTGCTCTTTGCTGCAGTGCGTGGGCTTCTCGTTGCGGTGGCTTCTCTTGTTGCGGAGGGCAGGTCCTAGGCATGCGGGCTTCAGTAGTTGCGGCCCACAGGCTCAGTAGTTGTGGCTTGCAGGCTCAGTAGTTGTGCCCGGGCTTCCTTGCTCGGCAGCATGTGGGATCTTACCCGACCAGGGCTCAAACCCATGTTGCCTGCTTTAGTAGGTGGATTCTTAAGCACGGCACCACTAGGGAAGTCCAGAAGTGGGTGATCTCGGCTGGTGGGAGAAAAGATTGTAGGTCAGTTGAGGGTCCTACAGCTACTCAGATTAAATGTCAAATGTATGTGTGTGTGCGCAGGCGTGTGCATTTTGTGGAGTATATAACTTCATTGGATTTTTAAAGGGATCTGGAACCCCTTACACAGAGTGGTTGTGATGGGACTAGAATTACCTATGACATTTAGAAATGTACTCTTTACACTAACATGCTAAGTTGGTCATGTGGTGGCACATGATCTGTTCTTATGATTTAAAGCAAAAATTTAGGTGATCAATTAAACACTTTTTTAAGTTTTTATTGAGAAAACATTTCACTGGTAAAATGTTTTTTAGAATCACATATTTTCTTCATTTTAAACTAGGTTTGTTATAGTTTTTGTTGATTCATTTTGTTTCTTTTAGCAAGTGGTTAGCATTGTTTCTATTTATTTTGAGGGAAAATGTTGAGTTGATCAGAATGTAGTGTGAATTTTGTGGAACAAAGGCATTAAATAAATGGCATTTATTTTGAGATGCCTTGTAGACTGCACCCTTATAGGATTTCTGATTGGTATATTGTCCACAGTTTGTGTCTTTTCCTGCAGTATTTAGTTATAAATGAAGTGCCTTGGAAGACAGTTTAAATTTATAGTCCTTTCATGTGAAGCATCTGGTTAATTCACATTAGAGACAGGATTCGGCTGCAGCTAGTACTTAAGTGAACTTAATGTTCTGCTCATAGTTCCTAGTAAGTTACAGTTGTTTAAAGGTATTACACGGGGCTACTTGGGGACATTTAGAGGGAGATAACTTTTAAAACTTGTTTTAGTGTTGTAAAATATGGCATCTTTGTAGTTAACCCTGTGTTGAGTAAGAATATCATTGTTGTTTTCATAAGACAAAGATAAGCATATGTATTTTTTCTTATTTGCTCACTGATAGTGCTCTTACTGTGTATCTGTTTCTGGGTTATTGTTTAGTGTGGGATAAAAGCTTAGGGAGAGGGATGACAGTGCCTTTTTTCCTCTTGTTACATAGAAAAAATTTCAATTAGCTAGTACTTTTCAATCCTCTGAGGTATAGTTGTGTGTGAATGAAGACCTTGAACCAGTACCTTTAATGGCAGCTCTCATCCGAACAAAAGAGAACACGTTGTCATTTTTGCTCTTTTTTTCTTTATAGGGGAACTTCTGTTTCATGTGCACCATCCCGCTTTATTCTGCTAATCTGCTAATGCAGTAAATTGGAAGACAACCGTTGCCAGGATAACCTGTAATGGGCAAGGAGCCACAGAAAAGAAAACATTTCTTTTAATTTTTAAACTTGGTTTGAAAGGTAAGGTCACAAATTATGAGGAGTTTCCTTCCATGAGTTACATCAAGGAAAGCAGTTTTCTGTCTTGAGACCCTGGAGTCTAGGTGGACCTGGTCTGGGTCATCACTTTGAGCCAGGTACCACCTGGCTCCGTGGCGCTATGGTGTTTTTAGAAAGTTAAATAACAGGCTCTGTAGTTTGCTCTGGTATGTCGTAGAATCTGCAGCACCCATGGGATTCCCACTTGCCACGGGATGGGGGTTGGGGTGGGATTGAGCTGGGCCCTAAGGACTAGACAGGCCTAGCAGGCTGAAGTAGCAATGCCAGAGAAAGACTCTGCTCGTGGAGACCAGCTACTGCTTCTAGGTCATCTCTCTGTGTGTGTGTGTGTGTGTGTGTGTGTGTGTGTGTGTGTGTGTGTGTGTGTGAGAGAGAGAGAGAGAGAGAGAGAGAGAGAGGGAGAGACAGAGAGAGAGGGAGAGACAGAGAGAAAGAGAGGGAGAGACAGAGAGAGAGAGAGAGAGAGAGAGAGAGAGAGAGAGAGGGAGAGACAGAGAGAGGGAGATTTGTGTTTGTTTCACACCAGCCAAAGGACATCTGGCTTCTAGCCAGCCACCTGACTCTTTTGAGTCTTAATTGCTATCATTTTGCAACTCTTTACTGAATTTTTTTGTGAAAGACCAGAGGTTTACTTTGCATATTTGGCTTTTGGGTCAATTGGCACTTAATAGAAAGTGGCCCAGTAGGACCTTTTTGGGGATATGCACATATACTTAATCCAATTTCATTTGTTCCATAGTAACTGGAGGAGCAGGTGGACATAAACCATTTAATCATCTACCTTTCAGGCTTCACTGTCTCAGGAGATACTATAGTTGTTCTGTTGTAACAGGTCTCTGCTCCTAATCCCCAGGCCCCAATCTTTCCTAGGCAGTAAGCCACTTTGCCTGTGCTCTCCCCCACCTCCAGTCCCTTGTGAATAACTCTTCCTCAGCATCCCCTTCTGCTTACACAGTGAAGCACCAACTCTTGTAGAAAGGTTCTGATTTGTCCAGTTTTTATCTTCATATTATTCTGTATAAATCCTGATGGGGAGAATTCCCTTTAAGTAGTCATTCACTCTGAGCACCTTGTCTCATATGGTTTTGTTTGTTTGTTTTTGCTCATGTGGCCCAGCCCTTCCTTTTTCTCTGCCTTGGGATAGGTTCTAACCCGTAGGTATGAACTCTTCAGTTTCTTACCTGCCTGACTGAGTGGAGAATTCAGTTGAGGGTTCAGATATAAGAAGTCCAGTAGTATGCAGTGATAAGCTATGATCTGACTGTCAGATTCATTTATAGTTAAAACGATTATCCATTTTTCTATTGTGATGCTGGATTTCAAAAACTAATTTATTTTTTATTTATTTATTTATTTTTTTGCGGTACGCGGGCCTCTCACTGTTGTGGCCTCTCCCGTTGCGGAGCACAGGCTCTGGACGTGCAGGCTCAGCGGCCATGGCTCACGGGCCCAGCCGCTCCGCAGCATGTGGGATCTTCCCGGACCGGGGCACAAACCCGTGTCCCCTGCATCGGCAGGCGGACTCTCAACCACTGTGCCACCAGGGAAGCCCTCAAAAACTAATTTTTAGAACTCTTTATAGTATTACACATATTAGCTTTTTTTTTTTCAGTTGAGGTATAATTGACGTACTAGTTTCAGGAGTACAGTATAATGATTTGATATTTCTATATTTTGATAAATGATTACCACAATAGGTCTAGTTATTAGTTATCATCCTTACACATAGTTACAGATTTTTTTTCCTTGTAATGAAAACTTTTAAGATTTGTTCTCTTAGCAACTTTCAAATATACAATACAGTATCATTAACTATAGTCACCATGCTGTACATTCTATCCCTTGACTTATTTATTTTGTAACTATAACTTTGTATCCCCTTCATCCATTTTGCCCACCCCCGTCATACGGTTTTATTATTCTGTGTATTTGATTTTATGCCTTCCAGGGCTCAGCTCTCTTTCCACCTTTTTTGTAAAACCTTTCTATGTTGGTCCAGTCCCTTTGTGGTCATTCCTTTTTGAACTCTTATCATTAAATTATTTTAGGATTACTGTTTTTCCTTAAGTAGATTTTAAGCACTCCTGAGCTAAGAGTTTTCACTTCTACTTTATGTCTAGTACATTTTATGTTATAGGTGTCATTAATTGTTTGGTGGTAGGAGCTAAAATTTCAGAGGCATTTCTCAGGATAACAGTTTTAAAAATCTCCCTTT